ATTTCAACGAAATAATATAATTTAACGAATACCTTTTAGTGTCAACTACACAAGTGAAACCAGTAGGTCGGGGTAGCCAGATTATCGGAATACAAGAATTTGGTCAAGTGTAAAATGGTTGATCTTAGGAAGATGATTGATTGGGAAGAAGCTTATGAATTACGAAGCGTGTATCAACAAATAATAAGATAGGGAGGAGTCATAATTTCAACAAATAGTATAGATAGATGGAGACGTTAACTGGTGGGTCTTTATTCATCAAATCTGAACCTAACAAATGGATAATAGTAATATGTGGAAAGAGCCTGGATGCGGTCTAGCTGCTTTCATAATCACGTTTTAAAAATCTAATCCCTTATGATTCTGATTTTCCGATGATGATTTTGATGGCATTACCACCAAGTGTCATTCAGAAGATTAGAATAAATTTAATTTTACTTACATGCTTACCTTTACATTAAACCAGACTGTAGTTTTCAACAGTTCGATGCTTTTGTATAATAATTCTCTAAATTTACCACCCACTCCACATGAATTCTCTTACTATAGTCTTCAGAAATTCCGATTCTCGTTATTTTGCCCTCCCCTCAAATCACACTAACTATATTGCTGGAAATAAACAAAATTCGCGTTTGTACTCAAGTGATTATATACCGGGTCGAGTTGAACGTTTGATGGATCGTCATTATTCCTTCATTTATGAAAAGTTTAGTTAATTTTACTTGTACTTGAATCCATGTCCAAAAAGTTTAGGTCAGCTTATAAATGTGCTGGAAATACCCCAGATTCCGTCTTTTTAATGCATAATTGTATTGTCTCCTGCTTAAATAATGGTGTCAAGTATTCTTTTTAGGTAACAATGCTGCTTTTGATTCCGTTTCTGTGATACTTTGATGGTGACCTTTTCATCATCACACCTTGGGTCACAAAGCTGATTTCTTGTTTTTTGAGTGGGAGTACCGTATTTTCTCCATTAATTTTTTTATGACAGTGCATCACCTAGATTCGATTTCATTAATCATGTGACACTCTGATAGTTTCTGCTCGCATTATTTCTACCTTACATTACTCCCACACAAATGGTTTCCTCCTTGAATTTATCAAATGGTCCCATTAAGTGGACTGCTATTAACTGACTCATCTGTCAAAATGGCCGACGAAATTACCGACCGGAAACTCGCGTCAGACAGCTGTGCAGTTCAAACGTTTATTTCGAAAGCGTACTAGAGGGCATGTGAAGCGAAGAAACCCAGTCATGCGCACAGTAGGCTACTTGTCATTCAACATCTTTCAGTAGACATAATGAACCTTAAAATCATGATGTAATTCCCACTTGGTCACCCGTCCCGTCTTTCCAGATTCCGTAACTGCTCATTACCTCTGATCTACATCAGCCTTTCCCTAGAATCAACTTCCCGAGAATATCGGTTACACCGTTCTACCTTTCAAAGCCACACCTAGAGGTCTCCATTGAGTGCATTCATTTCCTCATATATTTGGGGTCGACTACTATTATGATTCTGGACCACAAAACGCTATTCAGAATCCCCAAAACATGAAGACTTCCAAAAGAAGCAGTGTGCCTTAACGGAATAGGCCAAGTATTTTACCTGGCATATTACGAAGTTAAGTGGTACTGTCATTTTCTAACCAATTATACTTCCCGTTTTTCCCCATTAGAGTTCCTATACCAGACTATTATCAGCAACTTTACAGTTTGAGCATCCTGCACCACGCAGTCGGTAATGTCTGCAAAATGATTATGCTTCTAAGAGTACGTCTTCTAAAGCCAGTAAGCAGGGCCCTCTCAACCTTTTCTCCATAGATTACGCGAATCCAGTATATTCTGCTACTTCTTACACGGTGTTTTTTCAAAGTTCAACTACAGTGGAATTCATGCCTGTAGCTGACAGATACGCTTTAACCAAAAGCATGGGTCATAAATTCGTCATAAATAGTGTAAAAACTGCTTGAAAGCTGGTGACCGAATGCATGCATGGTAAATAAACGTATACGTCAGAACATCGGATGAAGATAAACGCTATCGCAGACTGCATTTTCCTCGCTTTGTTTTCCGCATCTTTCACCGGCCAGGACAGTGGTGGTCAGTTGGATATTTGACTTTACTCAGACAGTCACCAGTGTGCACGATGCAGTGCAGTTTTACAATGTGTGCTTCGAAAAGAGTTATGATAATTTCATATGTGACATCTAGTTATTCTAAAGGCGATTAACAGTCTTTCGTACAGCTATAAAGCCTTTTGCACCGCAAGGATTCCTCAAATATGGTATTGGTTATTAGTGACTACGAACCTGTTGGTTTACTTGCATTTCTTGACTTGTGGTTACGAAGATGATATTTTATAGGTCAATGTTTTTTAAATTATGCAGTCCAATATTCTATATTCCTTGCCAGTTGACTGTGATAAGCAATGGCATTAGTGGGCAAAGTCAACGAGGCCGTTTTTAGAAGTTGATTGCCGTTATTCAGTGTGGGCGATGCCACACTGTGGACTACTTCTTAATAAGTCTCTCAATGGTAGTGTTAAATATTTAGCCCTACTCTTCCGTAAAATATAACTTCTCCGATTAGAATTATTTATTATGGTGAGTGTGTACTTAAGTGCTTCCATTGTCGCATCTTTGCATTTATAGTATTTGTATAGAGAATCTTTATAATCTAATTCCACATTTTCATCCGTATAAGCTGTTAACTGCATCGACCAAAAAAGTTTCAAAAAAAGTCTTGTCCACCTGTGTTGAAATTTGACTCATCCTCTAATACTGACATTTTTACAGCAGCCAAAACTACTACGCGTTACCATGTAATTAACTTAGATCGTGAGTAAACGCCAACCCAGAGAATGAATTCCGTGACTGATTTAAAAGCCGTGAATTCCAGTTATTCTACAACACATTCTCTTCTGTTGAGGCAGAAAAAAAGCTCCCTTTTTAAGCAGGACCAGCGTTATTTCAGAACATAGTGGGTGGAAAAAATATTCATTTACCAAAAAAGGCATTATCAACGCATAGGTTAGAATAAGTTTAGAATTTTTGTAAGCTTTTAGACGTTTAGAAAAGAACACGGCTGGTTCGGAGATGATTTAGGGCATCCCCAACAGTCCTACTGAGTGCGTCTACTTTCGATGGGATAGCAGCATCTGTTTTAGGGTATTCTGATGCCATAGTCTTTGTCAGAGCAAGCTTTAGTATTGGGTTTGCATCAGACGACTCTTTTCACAAAACTGAAAGTCTTTTGATTCCTCTACCCCCAAGTTCGTCGGTTGAGGGCTCTACTTATGTACTCGAATATGTAGTGTCGACAGAAAACTTCGAAACGAAGTGATTAAAGCTAGTAAAGGACATTGTTTGATGGTGTTCACTTCCCTGTGCCTTGATGCGATCCCATTGCTGCCCATGTCATCTCACGAACTCTGTTATTTCTGTCTCGGAACGTGCTTGATCTAAGTTTCTTCCTACTTTGCGTGACACTGCTCGAATGTGATATTTACCTGGTTTACGTCGGGGCTTGCGATGAGTAAATCACCTATGAATACCTTTGGAAATAACAGTTAACACGATAAATAATTCATATATTTCTGAAAAGTTCGTGTAGCAATCTAGGGACCGAGTGTCATTTTCAAAAACTCACACAATCCAAATGGACTGATAATTACTGATTATTGTATGCCTTCCCCACCAAGTAATAAGTGTGAACCAAGTATATTTTGGTAAATATCGTGGCGCTGTGAGGAACATTTGGAAAGACCCAGCTGTAACATTAAGGGTGTCCTGTTTGCTAATTCAAGACACTATAGTCACCACATTAGCTCTAGTCTATTTGATTTTTCTTAGCTGCAGTGTGCAACGGCAAGGTGCACTAACCACTTGAATGTTCGATAATAACCTCAACCGAATCATCTTGTCGACTGTTGCTGTCCAGCGATTTCTATTGTTTCGATCATTCGGATGGTCGAAGATCATCTTCATTGTGTTCGCTCTATGAAATATGAGTGGTGACACATAAGCAAACTAATATGAAATAAGCAGAATATTTTCGAAGAAGAAGACCTGGTGTCGAAGCAGAGACCAGTGAGATGCAGCTGTAGTTTGCGCATACCTCGCGCCGGTGGCACATCGGTTAGGATGCTCACCGACCATGCACATGGTCTGTGGTTCGATTCCCGGCAGACACACACCCGATATCTATGGTTGGCCTGCTAAATTTGAGCTACCGATATCACATTCTGAGAATTTTATAGCTGTACCAAAAAATACTGTTTGAAGTCAAGCTATAATAAAAAATAATAACTGCTACACGCCTGTTCCTTTTGTAGCAGATATTAAAGACCATCAGAAACCAAGCATGCCATATTATAGTATAATAGGGTAGCGCAACCTAGAAGGAGATCAAAATACTTTTTTCAGTCAGAAGACAAGAGGAGCAATCGAGTTCATACACCGGACTTAGCTAGGCTACATGAGACCACTGGAGATCATCTTCCAAACTGGTTCCCACGCTTTCAAAACATGGACTAATACATATTGGGACCTTTAGATTTTCAGGCACTCACATATGAATCGCATCAATAAAGATAAACAAACTGAGTAAGTATGTGTGGACAATCTGATCTGATATTCAGTGAATTAATTTGACCCTTGGAATCTTAAGATCTCTGCTGGGTAATTGAGGGTTTTATTTGTGAAATCTTTATCAGCTTTCATTGATTTGCTTTTGGTTAAAAGTAGTCACCAAATAGTGCACGCCGTAAGAAAGATGAATGTACCCCGTCGACGCATAATTTCATTTGTTACAGAGAATGAGCTGCCATCATATAACGGCGAAAAGTTTGACAGTAAGCCTTGAAAAATTAGAAAAACTAGATGTGAACAGCTTTTATTGAAGAATGTATTCATGCCAATGCCTTGTTTTAGTGCTCCACAAGATCTATGCTCATAAAAGCGGGAATTCGGATGAAAATTAACTGGCTGCTACCAAGATGAGCGTCTTCTTATTTGTACCAAATATCTTAGGTAGGTATAGATTTGAAATTAGTAGTATCTCCCGTTCCAATCACTTGCATGTGGTTTTTATACGAACCAGCGTGAGTTAAGCTTCAACTGGGAGAGTGACGGACACATACGTAGAAATATATTTCCACAGCCAATGAAGTCATTTTGATCCAAGCGTACAACCACTTGAAGATCATAAAATACTTAATCAAAATAAATCTTGTTTACTTAGGCAGGGCAAACACAATGCAGAAATACGTGTATATTTGCTCTAAAATATTTAGAAAAGTGTAAGTGTTAAACAGCTTGCCTACTTCAGAAATTTTGAAGATTAATTAGGTTCCGCATAATCGCCGATTTGTCTCCCGTTATTTCCGTACGTACTTAGCGGATTGAACCATAAAAGGGGTTTAGGATTCAGTTTCATCCCAGCCGGACAAAATAGGTAGATTTTCAGCAAATTGTGTAAATGGAATGTATGCAGCGAAAATATTCCTTCCGATAATTTCCTCTCCTGGCTCTAAAATGTAATATGTTTATATACATAGAATATTCTAGAATAGTAGTCAGTAACAAAATTATTTTTTAAAATAATATTGATATGTAAAGTAAAATCAATGAAATTGCCGTTCATTATAGGTGCTTAAATTATAATGATAAAAATATAGCAGATGGAATACCAACTAAGTTTAATGAAGTTTCCGCAAAAAATTGAGGATCATTCGAACCTAGATGGCCGAGTAAGGTGAATCTCTGAACTGGCTTCTTTGACACAAATTAGCCCCCAACGACCTCAGTAATATTTAGTAGACGAACTTTTATGGCAAAGTTAAGATTTGTTGGTAATGCGATAAATGACTTTGAAAGCCTCGTTGTCCTGTATCCACAAGATGAGACAGCATGGAACTGAGTCGATTTTGTTTGTCTCCAACATAACCCCTAAGGGTGATGTTCGGAAATTTAACGATAAACATGGGTGATTGTATGGCCTATGTAACTGATTCCACAGGAGCAGCCGTATTGGTAAATACACACAGAAGAGGCAAAATTAGGTTGTTTATCTTTAAATACCGAATGGAAAATGGGTTGCTTTAGGAGAGACAGCATAATTCAGCAGCAATGAATGCTCTATTTACCTTCATATTCCCTAGGCGTTGTGTTAATATCTCACTAATCTTGTCCCCAAAGAACTGAAGTTGTATGAACAAGGTGTTTTTCGGAACTGCTGGTACTTCAGGCTGCATCAACTTTTGATTCATATTCATATCGATGAATTATTTCCGAGCAACCATTCTCACTCAGCAACTGTTTAATAGTATTAAGCTCTTCATTAAAACATTCATTAGCGTGAATCGCTCTTGCTCTGTGAACCAAGCACTCTATCAAACTGCGTTTGTACGTCAAAGGCACGAAGCTGAAAAATGAGTATACTGACCAGTTGTAGTAGGTTTTCTACATACATTTCATACTGTGCCATCCTCTTTTCTGGTCATAAGAACGTCTAGGAATTAAATAATAGAGTCTCTTTCTTTAAGAGAGTAAAATTTATTGCAAGATGAACATCGTTAAATTCATGCAGGATTTTCTTTGCTTCATCCTTATTTTTCGTAATAGAAAATGTATCATCCAAGTATGGACAGTAAAATTCTAGTTCATCAATTACATCTATCAAAGGCCCATTCTGTAGTTTTACAAGGAAAATGTCGCCTAGAATGGGTCCTAGTGGTGACTCCATTGCCACACCGTCAATTTGTGTGTATAGTTGCTTATTAAATAAAAAGTAAATATTCATTGTGCATTCCAAGAGAAGCTCTTTTATAAAAGATATAAGAATACGGACATCTGTGTTTCGTCTTATGAGTTCTTCGCATACAGAGTATACTGTTTCCATAAGTGGTACATTGGTGAATAAGGAAGATACGTCAAATGATATCATGAATTTATTGTCAACGTTTAAATCTTTTATCCTCTCAATAAATCCAAAAGTACCCTTTACAATGTGTTTCACCAACTTAGTATATAGAGGCTGTAGGAGCTTGACTAACCATTTAGTTATGGGGTGGTATGGGGAATTTGACATGTCTAATACTGGTCGAAGTGATAAACCATTTCTGTGCACTTTAGGCGAGCCTTATAACCTTGGTGTGAACGTTCCAGTGGTAAATCATAGGTAGGTAATAGTTAAAATGAAAAGTGATGGCTAAATAATTGACTATATTGGTTGTATTTGGTAAAATACTTGTCAAATTATAGGGAAATATCGGTTCAGTAGTGGTCACCGGGGCTCACCGGCAGACGTATGGACAAAGGGCTTATTGGATGCCCTGGATGACTGGCCCCATTCAAAAAGGCGAATGAACCGGACTCCGGTCACCGGCTGCCAATGGATAGTGGACTCCTTACTCCACTCCTACTGCCTTGTAGGTCACACTTGGTTGTGTAAAGGCTAGAGCTGCACTCTCAAACAAAGGCCGAGCGATGCTGGGGACATCACTCGTACCCAATTCCCATGAAACTTCATGGTTCATGAAGCCGGCTCATCCTCCCGTAGGAGATAGCCGAAGTAAAGTAAAGTAAGTAAAGTTCAGTAGTGGTCGAAATTGTAAAATTTCAGTAAAAAAGGAAAACTTACGTCACATTACCGAATTCGCTCATGTTTTCCTACTGTCAGCCCTACTCATTACTCACTTATTCCCTACCATTTTTGTCCGACTGGGTAGAATGTTTTCCTGGCTTAGATATGGTCTTTAAATTCCCAACAGGATGCCATATCAATATACGTAATAGTTTTTACATTATTACCTTATGGTCATTCTTTAAAACTGTGATTAGCTGCCTCAATGTTATTAAAATTGTGGTTCTCTTGGATCCACATTCTTTAACTTCACCGATTTTATTATTCTGAAATGTAACATTTACCTCTCTTGCACTTGAAGGTTTCAAGTAGTTAGAATGTATTTGTAACTATGTAGTGTCTTTGTAGCAGTGCTGATAAATTCTGAAATGACTATAAAACTGTCGACCGCCGGCAAATATGTCAAAATATGTAGTTCGTGTAAATTATCGCTTTTAAGACTGCACTGTGTAACTCAGCGAGGTATTTTAGGGAAATGGAGCGCTAAAGCAGCCAATCAGGACCCACATTAACGAACTAGGGTATGAAACTACCTGATTACTTGAATCAGTGATTGAGTTACATTAATGTAACACTGTTTCACTTATTGAAGTACGTAGTTTGAAATGGACATTTGTCTCGGGCAAAGTGTATGGTTAATGAAGACTGATGAAATACTTAATAAAAAGGTAAAGTAGAGACTACTGCTAAAAGTTGATAAAATTACGTAATCGGATTGTGAGACACTGACCATATAAAAAGGCTAGCCGTCTTTGGCCACAGATGTTTACGCACTGTCTCATGTGCTAAATGGTATAATATGGTGAGTAATATCAAGGTTAGGCGTAGTGTTAGGTAAGAACAGAAAGTCGACCGATGAGGTTGTGAAGGTGAATCGATTGAGATGGCTAGGACACATGTTACGTCTACCAGATCATCATCTTCCTCATCGAAGAATGTTAGCTGACAAAGGATTAGGTTGAAAGAAAGTAGGAGTGGACAAATCAAAACCTGGAATCAGTCCATGAAGACTCCGACAGTTGGTTTAAGTCACGTGGGGATATGTAGGCTGTCTGCCTGTGGTTCTCAGGATGCTAAGAACCAATGGCTTGAAATTATTGGTGATATTTATTTTATTTTTGCTTAGTTTTATGCTGAAACTCAATCAGTCAGATAAATCTTAATGAGATTGTTTCTCTGAAAACTCTTTTTTGGCAACCCAAGAGAGTCCGATAAAAGCTTGTGCCATGTAACACAAAGATATTTGCATTTATCCTGCTAAAAAACTAAAGCGTTGGTGAGAAACATGGGATTTATTCTTTGTAGTTAAATTGATATCATTTCTCAAACATAAACATGGGACATTCTGACCTATTTTTCTTTTTTAGGTTACATACGCATTGTACTTCTGCTTGTTGCATGCTTTTTTATGAGAAGTAGTTGTGAAATAACGCTCCTCACTTATGTCTTGTCATGTCTACTTGATGCATTTGATGGTTATGCTGCACGATCATTAAACCAAAGTAGGTTCTACTTGTATTATTACTAATTTCTTTTTTATCAAGGTACCAAGTTTGGCGCAATGCTTGACATGATTGTTGATAGATGCTCAACAATGTGTTTGTTAGGATGTCTTATCTATTTCTACCCTTCGTATATGTTTTTCTTCCAAGTCGTCATGATAGTGGATATAGCTAGTCATTGGCTACATTTACACAGGTAAAAGAAGTCTTGTAATAATTACTTCTGCAGTTCTGTTTTATCAGGTAGTTCGAGTCACAAAATTGTGGACCTAAACAGTAACCAGTTCCTCAGACTGTACTATACAAATAAAGTGAATGACATCACAAGATGTTTATTTTCTGTTTAAACAATTAGGTTGTTCTTTTTCTGATGTGCGCTGGAAATGAATTATTCTATACGATGCTGTATGTATCTCATTTTTATCCTGGACCAAAGCGTAAGTTCACATCTTTTGCCATTATAGTGTTGCTGTATGTGGTTCATTTTTATATTGTAATAGACTAAATAGGGAAGATAGTGTGGGAATCTTGGTGACATTACGATTAAGAAGACTGTTTAGTAATATCTTAGACTTGTTTCTTACTTTGATATTCCTCTGATTAGCACTTGAGCCTCATACTTGATGTTCAGAAAAAAATACCAACACATCACACTAGTTACTAGTGTCCAATGAAATAATAACATTGCTTCACATTCTAAGCCACAATGATGCAATAAAAAGTAGTTGTATCGGTGAAACCGCCTAGCGGTCATTGGTTGTGTTTCACTCATCTCGAAATGTAACGAAGATCAGAGTACTGTGACTCAAAGTCCCATCTTCTAAACATTTAAAAGGCAAGATTCTCTTGCTTTTAGTGGCTCTATCAATCCAGCGGTAAGCTCTATGGATTAGTTTGTTCTGTGTGATTCAGTTTGTAACTACAGATATCATAAACATGGTTTATTATGTAATTAGAAGTCAATACAGATTAGGCTGACTAATAACTGTTACCTTGTTGAAGCTGTCAGGCTTGCAAGACGCAATGATCCAACAAGATACACCGACTAGAACTAATTTTTTCCGCTACGAAGGTCCCCTAGTTAGTGGTAGGTTATTTACTATATGATAGGAGTCTGACGGTGAAGTCGTGCTACTAGAAGAAAGGTGTGTAACAGCAATAGCATTTCCAATAGGCAATGAACCAGTCACTTTTGTTACCTTCTAACTTTGGATTTGAGAGGTTAGGAAGCTGTACAGCGGTACATAGGTGGGAGTAAGGTCTTCTGTCTGTACGAAACACCACAAATCCCACCTTCGAATGGGCCGTATGTTATCATTCTTGAATAGTTGACCTCTCAAACATATTCATGGACTCTGACCATAAGTTATTACCTACACCTGTATGCCTGACACTAGATGAATTAAAACAGTGTACACCTTTTCGAAGAAAACATAAGGTTCGTATTTATGGAGTAGATAACCAAATGCTTGTGACTATGACAACTGTATTCATCATGGGGAAACCTGGCGTCATATCCGTCCAGTGTAGCAAGAGAAGTGAAGGATTTTGAGAAGCTACAAATAGATGCATATAAATGACAGCGGGTTTTTGACGTTCAATCCTAATTGATTGGTTTATAAAGACTAATCCAAGTAGGCTTCGAAGATACTGGGGAAAGAACGTCACTCAAACGCAGGTTGCACAACTCTTATGAACAGTGGGAAGTAACAAAGGCTGAAGAAATGGTAAAGACATGGTGCTAGATTGACTACGACATTAGTTGTCTATGAGCAACCAAGATATTCACACCAATCCAGTGTCTATGATTGACCATGTCATTTTATAAAAAAGGAAACAAATCTTTCTGTTATAATAACGAAGATCAACTTGTTTGATATTTGTTACTCGGTTTCATTTTCTTTCAAAGACTAAGTAAGGTTCTGGAAAAGCAAATCTGAGAAAGTCAGTCTGTCTTGGGAGATATACCCATCATTCCTTAAAGGTTTCATGCCTGAAAGAGAGTGTACTGATTAAATCTTCACCACTCGTTAGATTTTGTATCATAGATATCTATCTCCTTGTTGAAAAAACACTGCTGTAACTCGAACAGCAGTAGAAGAGTTTAATGATGTTTGTCATTTGTAGTCAATACAGTCAGTGGTGTTCATGTAGGATGCCTAATTTCAACGTTTATGTTCAAGTTCATGGTGAATATGCTAACAGATATGGCTCTGGCCGACTTGTATGTTTCAGAGACCTGAAAAATCTTTCCGATCTGGGGTATGCAGATGATGTAATCCTTTTAGGTGTTGATGACAGCAAAACTCAGAGAATTCTTAACACTGAGGGCGTCTAGTATAGGATCCGCCCTTGTCAAATGTAAGATGATGCTTCACGACTGGTTCACATTGATGCCTAGTTTAAGAATAAGGAATCAGTTGGTTAACTGTTTCGATAACTTTACTCATTTGCAAAGTCGCAACAGTTTTAATGGATAAAAATTTTAGCACGAATACAAAAGACTCATTTCTCACTGGGGAACTTGCATCATTTTTGAAGCCGGCGTGATACCCAACTGTCCACCAAAGGATGTGTGCACTATGCAGCTGTGAGGCATGACCGTTAATGATGGAAAGCGTGAAAATACTGTTAGTGCTGACCACATGTCTTTGTCTTCAGTCTCTTTTATTAGATGTAGCAGTACGGCCTGCAAGCCGAATCACGACTTTCCTCGATGAGACATATTAGCCGACATACCATTAGGTTGAAATAAAGGTTAGGTATGGTCATACCAAAACATAGTGGGAGCCTGTGAAGTCTTGCACTGTTGATTTGGACGATTTAGGAAGGTGTAGATGGTCTAACGTCCTCGATTTGCTAAGAATCAGTAATTGGTGATTATTGCTGGAATGGATCAAAATCGTTATCAATATGGCAGATGTATCAGGTCCTAGTTATCATTTGGGTTCTGAAAACCTTCACCAGTCTTCATCTAATTACCCCCTTTCTCATCCTTTGCGATTTCATTAAATTTCTTTCTTTTATATTTATGTCCTTAAGTATTTCGCGAAGTTCTGTGTGTTAGTTGGCACAGATTATATTTCGAGGTTTCGTTAAGTGGTGGGAATATTTCTCTGCCTTAACCTTAACATGTTACTTTCAGTACAATGGCTCCGATTCAGAATTCTACCTCACCTAGTTACCTCTACATAAATGGGCTGTCTCACTAACCCTCACAATAGTTGTGTGGCTGATGATAACCTGGTACAGTCCTAACTACAGTTAATTGTGGCTCATCACCTATTAAGCAGATATACATGTTATTGGTATGCTTCGCCAGCTTTTTTCTTCAAGTTTTAGTTTGGTAAGTTAGCAGTCGTACTTACTTGTCATCAGTATGGAAATATATATGTTGTTATATTATGCTACTATGGTTTTAAATTTTTCAGAGTAAAACTCTTTTATTTTACCTTCCCAATCATTCCCTTTCTAATAATAATAATTGATTAGTGCTATCTTTGGGATTATCAAACGTGATGATTTGTTTGTTGGCTCCGGTTGCATTTTTGAAGACATCGATTAGCCTTATTCAATTGTATGCAGCTTGCATAAATATGGCTTCAGTGGATAAAAGAGAACGATCTGAAAATAAGTCGAATTAATAAAAAGTAGAAACCAAAAAAGGGCATGTACAATTATGAAGAAAAGCCGTCATAACAAACTTAATTACAATATTAACTAAATGCGTTTAGAATGAATGGCAGTCATTCAAGTGTAATCCTTCCCTACAAGATTCACTTTTTTTTAAGCTGATCTTAGTAGTCTCAAAGAATTTAATATTGTATTGTTGTATATGTCTTGTGATATTACGCCATTATTTTTGAATTTTTTTTTGTTTTTGCTGTTTTGAAGATGCCAGGCTAAATTGACTCTCCTAGTATCTTTAATATATTATCATTACGATGTAATTTGGATATGAAGTAAAGGACTTCATACTTATTTATCTTGAATGTTGTGTATTGCTGCCTCACCTCATTTTCGCTTCATTTTTTTCATCATGAATTCATTCTCAGCATTTCTTTCACTTCACTTATTTATTATTTAATATGATCATTTCATTCCATTCAGCTGATTGTTTTACATTCATTGTAATCAAGCTTTTTGTATTTCCCAATGAATGAAAAACAAAACGATATTGTTTTTAGTGGCATTTGGCTATTGAATTCTAATAGCTTCATTAAAGTATTAATAAAGGCAGAATTTACAAAATCTCACCATATATATAACAAAGAGTTAAGAGGTGAGAAAATAGACTTGGGTCAAGTTAATGGGACGTATAGAAAGACAGAACAGTAATAAAGATCACTAAACCAAATAACAAAGGTAATAGTGCATCTGTTATGATATCGAAACAAAGTTTACTAACTTGATCATCGTTCGTTAGTCTGGGGTCATTTTTCATTGTCAAGTTAGTCGATTGGTAAAGATAACAAAACCAAGTGTAGCTTGTTGGATTTGATCAGTGTGTAAAATAATAAAAGTAGTGTGTGTTTACATAGTGAACTTGCTTATCACATTTGCGTTGATTTTGCCACTTCATGAAGGAGGGGGGTGTTGTAGCCAGGTCAGATTCTGTTTTAGTCCATCATTCCCACTCAGGCAATTTGAATTCCACTTGATATGAAATGCTTCTGATATTAGACGTTCTTCGTGATTTCTGAAGTTTTTCTGGATTATTTCAATATTGTCGAAATCAATTTTGTGACCTGACTGATTCTATAGCGTGTAGAACTATGGCTGATGATTTTTCAAGTTTTTCTAGTTCAATTGGATTTCTCGGTGGCCGAAGAGATGATCTATGGTGTTCATTTCTTCTGATTTTAATTTCTCGATATGTCTGTCCGATTTATATCGCATCACATTCCAAGCATTTTATTTTATGGACACAATTAGATAGAGAATCTTTAGGGATTTAGTCTTTTATATGGACAAGGTTGCTTTGAAGTGTGTCTGATGTTTTGAAGAAAACTCTCATCTCGAGCTGATTGAGTACTCTTCTGATATCATCTGACGTCTCTGCTCTATATGGAATGACGACTATTGATGTCCATATTTTCGGAATGCGTTTTCGACTATACTTAATGTCTGTGTTGATTTTGTTGATGAAGTTCTTTGGGTAGTTGTTTTTTTACTTGAGAGTTTCAGTGATGTTTGATATTTCTCCTTTTTCTTTCTCATCTGTTATCAGAGAGTGTGCTCGTCTGAGAAGACTTGAAACAACTGAAATCTTTGCTCTGACGGGGTGTGATGATTTGAAGTTTAAATATTTATTGGAGTGGGTTTTCTTACTGAATATGGATGTGCTAAAATGTCCGTTTCCCCTTCTCTTAACTAGGCAGTCTAGAAATGGTAGTTCACCGACGTCTGATTCTGCTTCCGGAATAAACTGGATTCT